AWTTTTACTCAAGTTACAGCTTGCACGGACGKACGGACAGACAGACAWCCGGATTTCAACTCTACTCGTCACYCTGATCACTTTGGTATATATAACCCTATATCTGACTCTTTTAGTTTTAGGACTTACAAACAACCGTTATGTGRACAAAACTATAATACTCTCTTTAGCAACTTTGTTGCGAGAGTATAAAAATGTATAATTGTAAAATGGGCCTAAAATATACAAAACAAAACTTAATAACCTTGAAAATGGCGGTTAGACTAAATTCTGCGCTATACGCATACTCTGTCGTATGAATTCAACCCGTTAACTTTGTTGTTGCTTTCATATGTAATTATTTTTGACAAGAAATCAACGCGCAAAGATAGCGAGGAGCATATGCATAATGAGACATTTGTTAACTCATATTTTATGTAAAAATTTCAAAAGAAAAATCGGTTATCAGATTTCAAAATTACATAGTAAATTTTTGTAAGAGTATCGTAATAGCTTTTATACCCTTGCATCATATTGCTACAGGGTATTATAGTTTTGTTCACATTGTTCATCCTTGTACGTATCACCTAAAACTAAACGAGATAGATATATTGGTATATACAGAAATGATCAGGATGGCAGTTGAGATCCTGGTGACTATATGTCTATCTAGGGTAGGGTAGGCTCATCTGTAGACTTTTTGCAGCAAATATCTATCAATATGTGAAATATAAGTATATATTTAATTCAAAGATAGTACTTCTCTGACAATAGTATGTCTGTATATGAAAAATCGGTTGAATTGGACCAATACTTTCCTTAGCCCCCATATACCTAATACAAAGATTTGTGAACTTCCGGATGACTTTGTACCGCATATATCTTCCGATATTTGAAAATTGTATCTAGCCCCCATATAATAAGTTAAATGTCCGAGTGACTTTTCTCTTTATGATTGGTAATGGTAGGTAAGTGAGGTACCTTAATGAATCTCTGGTTACTTTTTATTAGTATGTGGCATATTCGTAGTACTTCATACATAAAACTGGGTCGCTACTACCCTCAATTCCCATATTATGATATGCGATTTTCCAACAATCCTTTTGTCAAATATCTGTATGAGTTACATATATTAGGTTGTCAAAAGAGTAGTTCAAGTTTTATTCGTCGCATCGGGTCCCGCTATACCTTTTTGGAAAGCATATTTCACGCGCTAACACGTGTTTGATTGATTGTCGTTTCTTTTAAGTCGTTCGTGAGTTATAGCGTCGCAAACCTGGAGCAAAATAAAGAGAAAATACGGCATATTTTATAGTACTACTACGATAAAGGCAAAAATGCAAGCACCCAATAAAAATTGTGCAATTTATGGACTCGATACAATTTCCATTTCCACCGCACAACGATGGTTTCAACGTTTTGGTTCTGGTGTAGAGGTGGTCGAAGATGCGCCACGCTCCGGAAGGCCTTTCGTCGAAAATTGCAATAAAATCGTCGAAAGAGACCGGCATTGTAGCAGCCGTAGCTTCGGCCAAGAGCTGGGCATGAGTCATCAAAAAAAACTTTTGTAAACAATTGAAAATTCAATAAAAATACCGCAAGACTTTTTTGATAACCTAATATATGTATATTCCGATATATTACAAGTTTCAAGAGTTCTGTTATACCCAAATTTAGCTCTTCTTAAACTATTTTTTATATATCTTATTTAAAAAAAAAACTTCTTTTCTCTTTACAGCATGAATCGTGTAATAAAATCGAAAGAACGAAAGCCAAAACAAACATGTCCAGGACACAAAACACTCCAGGTAAATTATAAACAATAAATTCTAAGTTTTAAAAGAGTTTTTTTTTTTGGTAGTGTGATTTTCAAGAAGAATTAAAGCGCCTATAATTTAGTGAGCAGCCCGAGGCTGTTGTTTCTTTTTCATTGGAAGTGGTTTTTACTTGACGGGTGCAAAACTCAGCGCACAGCTTAGCTAGGCGATGTGCTGAACAGACGCTGCTATTAAACGCCAGCGAACCCTTAAACCAAATATATCCGAATAACTCGAATGGAGCTTCTTCTCTTTTAGTCACAAAATCACTCTTGCCAAAAGCTGGCTGAGTAGGCAATTGAAATATTAAGTCCTCTCTCAAAGGATAGCGGCTGCGCTGGCAAGGTTATGTTTTCCAGATAGAAGAGAACACTCCAGTTTAGAAAGTTTTTGATTCACAACCTCCAGGTGGAATATTTCAACGCATCAGAAATGTTAAGCGCCTCCAAATGAATGCCGACATCAATTAGCACATTGCCAACTTGTTGATTGAAGATATTAACCACTATCAGTCACACTCGTGCAACCTCAATGAAAAATGTTCGCTTTATTAGAATAAAAATTTTTTGCATTAACGGCTAGCAACTAGAATCACTAAGTAGCCAATGGCGTATGTATATTTGCTCTTTAAGTTCACAAAAATATGCCAAATCCATTATGTCAGTTTAAGTAGGTGTTTAAAATAGAATAGATTTAAGAAGGTGCTTAAAATAGAATGAATTTAAGAAGACAAAGAAGCGTTATATTATGTCTAAGCTACTATCTGAGGTAAAACTAATACTGATAGCTGATTTCAGAACAAGTAGTCCGATACGTTGTTCTGTTGGTATAATCGATTATATTGAATGACATCGGTCTATTTGATTTATACCAGTTGTTTGTTCGATTCCCAATTTACAAAGTTTAGCGAAGAATGAAGATATCATTTCTTCAAATACCTTATATACCACACAAATCGTCACTTCCCAGATGCTAAATATATGTAAACAACTTTCTACTTTGCAAAAAAGATTTACTCTTAGGAAAAAAACACAGTTAATTAAAGGAAATAACGTGTCATCCAAGTAGATAGATCACGCGTGAGTCGTGTCATGTCAAGCTGTCATGTTATTTTCGTTCAGTATTGTTTGGCACTTCATTATGGAAAGACATACTATACTTTCAACTTTATTACGAAAATTAACGTTCTGTAAAGAATGTGTTTAGCGCTTTGTTTAACTTATACTCAACATAATCGACATACTGAGCGTACTATTCACAGCAATTTGGACTGACGTATGGTACGACTTGGCGCATTTTATGTCGAGATTTTAAATTGTAAGTCAAAGCTCGACCTTCGTAAGCTGCTAAAATGTGCTTCTTACAGTCTTTGGAAATTGGTTTTAAGACACATATACAAAAAATCACACCAATACGAATAGTTGTTGAGTATTAATATAACGCCATTGACATATTCCCTATAAGTTCCAGCAGAGGTCTTACCGGGCTCTTCAGTTTTCAAGGGTTTCAATGCTGATTTGTGTAGGTCAGGAAAGCCTATTTAGGTCAAGATAGCCTATTCTTATATTTCTGAAACTTTCAGTACTTTTTGTCGGTTGCAGATTTAAAACCCTTCCTTTCTTTTTATTTCTCTTCAGAGCCGCATCACCCACCAAGAGACGCTGTTACGTTCCATGCAACAAGAGAATTACACACTCAAACGCAGCATACGTCATTACGAACGTTGTCTGGACGATGTAATGCGCAAGGTAGTGGATGCCATTGTCGCAGAGGATATACTACGCGAAGAGGTCAGCATGCTTAAGAATCGGGTACGCGATTTGGAAGCGCAAAATGCGGCGCTCTCAGCAAGTCCGGCAAAGGGACGCGACGAAGGATACTGTACGATGAGCAGCGGACAACCGCAGCCATCGAATGGACATCTGGAAGATTTGCCGGAGGAGCCCGAACAGTGGCTGCTGCCAGCCGAACCGTGTTCGACTGAAATGGAAGACTGGAGCATGTCGCAAGAGGAGCTGCCTGTAGTGACGCTGGACGACGGACAGCAACTTATGCGCGGCGGCCGTTTGTTGACCAATTTAAGGCGGCAAAATGGTGAAAACGAGTGGATGTGGAATTCGAATGATTTCCTCACATCGACCACCGCGGAAACGGACTCGGAATCCGAGGCGATATCACAATTGCTGCAACAAAAGGTTAGTTTGATACACGTTGCGATATGCTTGATTCATGTTTACATGTCTACTCATTTTTGCTTTCTCCCAGATTGTTTACTCCGAAGATGAAGACATTGCGCGCACCGAGTTCACCAACGAGTTCTACAAGCTTGTCGACATACGTTCGGCTTCGGCGCGCAGTCTCTTCTCCTACATCGAGGGCGAAACAGATGACGAGGACGACGACGAYGAAGAAGACGAAATGTCTAGTTTGTCGAAGCGACGTATACGGCTGCGCAGTAAAAGCGCATTAAATGGCAATCGACTGACTGCGACCAGCCCGACGCCAAGCGAGGCGGGACGCGCACAAGTGACCAGCTGTTCGTCCAGCGAATCGGACGAACAATCACGTTGTACGACAACGCAACACGAACTGAACGGCAGCACTATCGAAGGCGGCATCGAAGAGGAAATGGACACACAATTGTGTGGCAACGAAAGCAGTGATATCGAAATCGAAGACTTACAACTGGAAAACGAAACGTTGCACAAGCTAAACGAACAAGAATGCATTGAAGCGATTATACGCACAGAACTGCGTCGACCCAACACCAACAGCCCCGCGCTACCGATGGTCAAATCCAAATCGATGTTGCACAAAACCGAAAACGACTTGAACGGACTGCTGCGTAACGCGGCAAATACGAACGGCAACGACGCCAAGCCGCCGCGTGTAGTACGCAGCGAAAGCGTGAACGGCGCAATCGTCGGCGGCAGCGGTAACGGTGGTGGAGGCGAGAGTCGCGGCAGCTCCGCGAGCGCGCACAAGTTGCAAGAACGTCTACAAACGCGACCGGCCAACTCGTGGCGCAAAAGCAGCGGTTGGAAGCGCGTACCAACGACACCGACCGGTTCGCCCACAGCGCCGTTGTCACCGAAAAAGGTGAGCAAGCAATTTGCCTAAATTTATGTATTATTTATACTAATAATGTTTATTTATTTTCTTTTCTCAACTCTCAGGAAGTGAAAACGGAGATTGTGCGCAACTGTGTGAATGGCTTGCCGAAAATACCGCCGACGCGTATACCAACCAGCGTGCAACAACAATCGCCGCCATCGCCAAAGCAAAACCAAAACGCGCCATTGCAATTTGGCGATACACAAACACAACAACAACAACAGCCAATACGAAAATCAAAAATTCCTCCACCAGTTCCCGTGCGTCGTTCTTATGCGAGCTAGCCAAGTGCGGTTGAGGGTATAAAATAAAGTAATAATAACAACAACAAAAACAATAAAATTAAAATTGTAGCCGTAACAGTGTAACATGCCGTTACGGTTGAAGCGAAATCCACAAGTTAATTAATTTAAGCAAAATTTATATAAAAAAAAGACTTATATGTGATATTTGAGCGAAGAAAGAGTACGCAAAAGTAGTTCTAAAACAAAAACAATAAAACACATTGTTGTATATACACGTAGTAGTAACAATGAAGTAACACCAAAAGTGACACTAACTGCCTGTTCCACAAAAACGAAAAAAAAACTTTAACAACAAAAAATAATAATAACACCGTAATTTTGGAAAAAAATATGCAAAATTTAAAATTATTTCAACTATTACAAAAATTAAAATAATGTCGTATTTTGGCCTAAAAAAATGAATGCTAAATTCAAAATTTTTTTTTTTTCCAACATCAAGTGAAAATGTAAAAATACACTGCCTGCAAATTGTCTGTACTACAACTTTATAAAAAGCATATACTGTAGTTATCACCATTTATATATGCATTTACAACCAATACAAACATATATTGAAATTGGGAGAAGTGGTTTGCACTATTTTCACCACACTCCCTCGTTTAGTGGGGAGTGCTCACATTTGGTTGCAGAATAGCGAAAGCCAGCGTAGTTGTGACACATGCTTTCAACTCACCGACATACCTATCAGTTGATTCCGTTTTAATGTACAGTTTTTTCCTAGGTACAGGAATAAATGATGGTTTGTTGAGTGGCAGTTGACTCGTTGGTTATTTTCGAAACGAAATTACTCTTTAATGGGCATTGTACATACGAATAAATATATAATTTGTTAATGCATTTGGCGAAAGCTTTGCATTTATTAACAATTTGGGTTTTTTATAAATTTATAAATGCATATATGTATATATACAGCTGATGCATTGAGTGTTATGTGACCGAGTGTTGCCAGCTTTATTGAGTACTAAAATATTTTAAAAGTAATTTAAAATGATTTTTTATTTTTAAATAATAATTTTTTGCCATAAATATTTATCCAAAATTAAATTGAAATTATAAAATATAAATTGAAATTATAACTAAAATCAATTGAATTATTTCTATTTTTGTAAATGTATTTTGTAATATTTCTCTTTTTATAATTTTCAACTTTATAGTTCAATAACATAACTTACAATTTTTGTGTCAATTTTATTAATAATTTTTGTTATTAATTTTTCATTTCGAAATATATATAAAAAAAACAAAACTACAGTTACAAATACGTAAATATGTGAAAAACTGAATAATTTCGAAAAATTCAGATTCAGATTAATCAGAATAATTAAACTTGAAATTTTTTAACTTAATTAAATTAACAAAAAAAATTCTAAATTTCAAATATGTACATTAAAAATCCAAAGCTTTCAAAAAAAATTCAATACCTT